ACAAAAAAACGCCACAAAAGACGCTGCAAAGGGAGAAGCAGAGGAGACAGCAGAACGGGCAACAGAAGGAGCCGCTCGAAACGAATCACAGCAGCCACGCGGAGGGCGGACCCGTAAATTTAAAAGAGCTAGCAGATAACGTAAAAATGGTGTCGCCGTCCGATGCCCTGAATTCCCTGCAGTACATGAAGCAGTCGATCCTGAATGACTTATAAAAAAAAAAGGTGCCACCTCGGCGCAGCCTGCAGGCAACCCTACGTGCTGCGGGGCTGTATATGTACACAATCACGGAGGTTCGTATTTTTCCCTCCTGGTGTGTGCCCTTCCCCCCTCCCCTGCGTGCTTTTCCCCCTTTCTCCACATTATACGCTTCACCTTTTTTTTTTTTTTTTCCATTCCTCCCCCTCAAAGGGTATACAAAAAGTAGTAACACGAATTATAGAGAAGCAAACCATCGTCCCTGCTCCGACGACGGGACACCTTTCTGTTCCTCTTTTTTTCAAATTTATTTAAAATTTTGCAAAGCATTCTATTTACGGCAATGTTTGCATGCAACTGATTTCTGTGCATCATATTCTGCAGCAGTGTCTTGTTTAGCAAAATTCTTTTTTCTACATACGCTGTGAGGAATCCCTTTTTATTCCCATAAGTGGTGTTCATGTTTTCTGTTGAAATTAGATCGCCTCGATCGTCCAGATCGTTCAGATCGTCCTCGTTGTTGTAGTGACCCACGTACACGTTGTCATCCTTGTCAGTGTGCTTCTGCCTGGCATAATAATCATAAATTTTCTTAACATGTTTTAGGTAATTTTTCCTTTTTGCTAACTTTTGCACATCGTGTTCCTGCTCATAAGCTCGAACAGCGCCAAGGTCGAGGAGCCGTTGTCCTTTCTTCGCTTTTTTCCTGCGCTCCTTTTTAAGTCTGTTTTTTTTTATTCTTTTCCTTCTAATTTTGGCAGATTTCTTGCCTCGGTCTGAACACCTACTCCGCAGTGTTTCACCCTGGCGTCGTGAGTGCATCCGTTTGGGATGTCCCCTCAACCGCTTCGAACCCCGCTTACGGCGCGCTGCACCACTAATCAAGGCGGCGGAACCTCGACCCAGGACCGTCATTATGGACAACAGCAGCGGCAAATGGTAATCGGCATACTGAATGATAAAGTCCATTAAGTAGTTTAAGTAGCTGCAAGTAGTGGCATTATTCAGCACAAGGATATTGTCCATATGTTTGAAAATTCGGTACAGGGACCCCTGTATGAGAGTATAAATGTGAAAGAAAAAAAAGTTAAACAGCTCATTTAACTCGATCTCTTCAGACGAAACTAACAACCGGTAGCTCGTGTTGCAGTACACATTCTGATGGTAATAATACTTCTTAAAAAATATTCCCAAAAAATTAGGAGTGTAAGCTAGGAAGAATTTCAAGTGAATATTTAGAGGCATCAAATAAATCAAATAGTACGATACGTAGATATGCATATATGTACATTTCCTATGAGTCAATAATTTACTTAAGATATAAATTAAATAATAGTCTATATTAATAATTTCGTTGTTGTTTTTTTTCCTGAGGACGGAACAAAAGTTTATCATTATATCACATGCCTTCCTTTTTACTAACAAAATGAGGTAAATATTTTTTAATTTCAAATCATGCTCATATATAATAACATGGATTAGCATCTTCAGTATTTGCAGGCAGTAAAAGTGTGTATCTATATTTTTATTCTTTATAATGCCATCCAGTAAGATTAACAGCATCAGCGATGCATACATATTGTTAAATGCCAAGTTATGGTCCAATTCGTTGAAGAGGAAGAAGAAGATGTTTGCAAGGATCTTGTTAATCTCCTTTGACGTTGTAAATATGTGCAGAATGTTGTTGTAGTCGAAGAAGTTCACTCGGTAGTTTATTATGTCTTTTATGATTTCTAAAATGTACTTTGACAGAATGGCGTATTCCTTGTTTATGGGGTAAAACTTGGGCAGCAGGAATATGTTGCCCGACTGGCTATTCAGGTGGCGATCCAAGTGGCTATGACTATGGCTATCTCCGTGCCTGTCGCCTAACCCCCCTCCTCTCGCATACCCCCGGTAGCTGTGGAAATTCCTTCCCCTTCTATCTACCCTGTACAACATCTCGTAGCACTGGTAGTCAAAATGGACAGAGGCGCTCTTCCTCCGTTCATTGCTTCCCTCTGCGCCACAAGCGTAGTAGTAATCCTCCCCAACGCTGGAACTTTGCCCGTTCCTTTTCTTCTTCTTCTTCCTCTTCTTACAACGGTTTTGTATAAACAACCAAAAAATAGTCATGTTGGCCTCCACAGGGAGCACATTCTGCATATCGCTCAGCAGAAATTTCTCAATATTTTTTATTTTACTTCTATTTTTTCGGAAATACAACTTGTAGTGCAGCAGGTGGTCATCTTCCTCACCGCTCTGTGTCTCAATCCCATCCGTGTGATTGTCCTTTCCGCCGCCCTCAAGGTGGGGGCCTTCCCGCGTGCAACTCTGGTCCTTCGGAACATCACCATTCACTACGTTGTCACTCTCTACTCCTCCATTATCTTGATTGCGCTCCTCTTCATCGCGATTCTTTTCATCCCCAAGCCCTTCCCCCTCGGGAGGACCTTCTTTCACACTTCTCAGTGGGTCCCCGTTACCGATATCTTCGCTTTCTACGTTCCTCGCGATTTCTGCCAGCAGATCACTCGCGCTGTGGTCGTGACCTTTGTCCTGGTTATCATCATGATGAGCGGCACTGCCCTGGGTACCACCGCCCGCGAGCCCTTTTTGTTCATCCTGCCCCTCGTTCACGCTCAGGGCACTCTGACTGCTGCCGCTCTCTGCAGCCCCTTTGGGACAGTTCCTCTCCGCCTCCTCATCCTCGCAAGGATTGCCTCCCTCCCTTTCGACGGAGACATTCACCTCGGGGTTGTCCTCACTTGACGGATCATCAGGGAGGCTAACGGATTCCTCTGCAGCGTCTCCCCCTGTGTCTCCGCCCGCGTCTCCCCGCTCCTTCTCCTCCTTCTCATTTTCCCTTTGGGCACCGAACAAGTCGTTTACCCCGATGGGAAACATTTCATCTATGTCCCTACTGGAACATGGTGCTTTCGCCTTATGGCCACTTCCGTGGCTAACACCCTGGATGCCAATCTCGCCGCTGTCCTCTCCACCAGTTTCGCCCCTTGGCCCCTGCTCGACCTCGTAGGAGTCCCCCCCTTTCCATCCGCTTGGCCCCTCGCTACGGCTCCTTTTCTCCTTCCCTTTTTCCCCCTCGGCGATTTCCCTATAACAGTTGGTTCTCCTATTTTGCTGAGTTTGAAACTCCTTGAATATTTTGGCCGCACTGAGGTTGAAATTATTCCGCCTCTTCCTTTTCCTGCCTTTCTGGAGGTATCCTTTTTTTCTTTTCTTTTTTTTCATTCTATTTTTCACATTCTTAAAGCCTCTCTTAGATACCAACCTGCACCTGACTCTCCAATTTTTCATGCCCTCATGATGCGGGTACAAGTCTTCATGCAAGCTAACCTGATATCTGTATGGAACTCTTACATTCAGGTAATGACAAGAGTTGGTGAAATCGTTGAGATTTAAAAATCTGTTGATACAGTACCTTTTTCTCTTTTGGTAAAATTTGTTGGCTTCTTCAATTATCTGTCTTACACGCAATTCAATTATGTTTGATATTTGGAGAAAGCTGGAGTCACTTTCGACTATGATTTGACGGTTAATAATGTTGTTCAGCTGTCCCACCTTTTTAATGAAGTCTTTGCTGATGAAGTACTCGCTGCCATCTTGTGGGGCACTTCTCTTTGTCTCTTTTTTGCTTCGCCCTTCAGTTAGCCCTTCACTTGCTTTTTCATTTGGTACAATTTTCCCATCATTATATCGACCGCTTTTCTCTCCACTTTGCCCTTCATTCTTCTTTTTCTTTGTCGGGGCGACTTCCGGCTCGTTGTTCTCCGCCAGCGAGCTGTATCCTCCCGTGATTGGCATACGCCTGTGCTGTTTGACTGGCACATTGTTGACTTCGCTGGAGGAGTCATTGTCTTCCTCCTCCTCGTCATCATCATCGTCGTCGTCATCATCGTCATCCTCTTCATCATCATCCTCTTCATCATCATCCTCTTCATCATCATCCTCTTCATCGTCTTCATCGTCATCCTCTTCCTCCTCGTCGTCGAAATTGGTCCTATCTCTTCCATCGCTGCCATGGCTGACGTCGTCGTCGTCCCCTTGTTCCTGGAACAGATTGGCAATTCCAATGAGGTCTTCGTCGATTTCCTCCCCCCTGACGGATGTTTTTTTCCTTTTCTTTTTCCTTCCCCTTTTTTTTATATCATTTTCAAACGGCATATTGCTAACAAGATTGGCGAACGTGGTCACTAAACATAGCCTACCCACGGGTGAGGGAAATCACGACTTGGGGGGAAATACAAAGTGGGGGATTTTACCAACTGGCGGGCGTGCACGGGGGGACAGCACGTCGCCAAGTACACCAAAAAAAGAAGAAGAGGCAAATAAGTAAAAAGCAAATAAGAAAAGAGGCAAATAAGTAAAGAAGCAAATAAGCAAAGAGCCAAAGAAGCAAAGAAGAAAGAGGCGAAGAAACAAACACTGACTTAACACTCCGTCCTTAAGAGCAGAATATACTTTGCCAACCATGGCGTGTACAATAATATACACATAAACGGGAAGGCATAAAAATGCATTTGCCTCCATTCAATTCGTACGTATTGCGTACTTTTTACATTCCTGCTGTTCAGGATATTTCACAAAAAAAAAAAGGAGTGGCAATCTTGTAAATAAATCACCTTCTCCTATAGTGTTATTTCTCCTTATGGTGCTTTTTTTTTCTTTTTCTTTTTCCCTTTTCATTTCGCTGCCATTTTGGTACTTCTCCTTTCTGCAAAGAGCTTTGCCCATTTCTTTTGGAGAAAAACTAAAAAAAGTAAATCAAAAAAAAGGGAATGCAAAAAAAAGGAAAATTAAGAGAAATGATAAAAATGACCCAGTTCCGCGTCTATCATGAAATATATTCTTTTAAACATTTCCCTTCAGGACCGCTTCCTCTCTGCGCGCAATTGCATCGTAAGGCTATCCCCTGTGAGAAAACGCGACGCGGGGTTGTGAGGGGAAGTTGCTAGGCCGAAAAACAACAGCACCCGCTGCGCAAGTCCAACATGCACTAACAGCGGCATGGTCATTTTGAAGTTCCCCTTATAGACGTTAGCAGTACACGTCTGCTAATGAACGGCCAAAGGGCTACTACCCCTAGGCTGACCAACTTTAACCATTTCGAAAAGATAAAAAAAAAAAAGAACGTTGCTCCCATCTGCGCAGAACATGATAGACAATTCTTTCCCATTGATATGTCCCCCGTCGCGTGTCTCTGTAACCTTCATTTTTAATTGGGTCACCTTTTAATTTCCATTTTGTGACTCTAACGGGAGGGTTAGTAAGGGTGTGGGCGCGATACATAGGAAGTACCCCTGTAGGAGTTTGCACACTGCTCACGAAGCTTCCAGGAGGACAAGCGTCTACGCGACGAAGGTTTTAATTTTTAAAAAGTCTATTCAGCGAAGTGAACATGGTTCAAAATCGTTTCGTGTAGAGGGGTGAGTATACCATGGGAATTGCCCCTCCGCGGTGGTGGTGGGGGAAACATACACAAGAGGTAATTAGCAGGGGCTGCACAAACAAAGGTTCGCCATAGACACAGGCACAACACCCCGTGCGATGTTCCCTTCAGTCGCTTAACTCCCCACGGTGCCTCAACGTGTTGATAACCCGGATCTTTCTCCGCAGCCAGTACTTCCCGAATTCCCATTTGGGTTCCTTCTGCACGGATTTTTTTGAACGTATCTCAAGAAGCTGGGGGAAGGGGAGGGGGAACATGTAAATTGGCCTCGCGAAGAAAAGGTCTCATGGAGGGGAGGAGTATGTAGTGGTGTCCCCTTTTTTCACAGACGAACTTATCCTCCATTTGGTCGCCTCAATATTGCCGTTTACGCAGAAAAAAGGGGGCTACTTTTTTCTTTTTTTTTTTTTTACCTCTAAGTTGGAGTCCATCGCGGGTTCTCCTTTTTTCTTCTCGTCTGGGTTGATTAAAAGGGTGCGCACATGTAGGCGTGATGAGATGTTTCCACGTAGGAAACACGGGACGAACTCACGCTGCTGCAATTTACCTGCCATGGACATTTTGTAGTCGTAAGATGTCAACCTGAGTAAGTAAGGCACTCGTCCCATTTGTTTGCCCTGAAAGGGGAAACGACACAGGGGGGAGGGGAATATATCCTGGTTAGGAGTCTTGCTCAGGTGAGCGATGCAAATAAAGGAGGCGCCACCGTTCATGTGCAGACATAGATGCATGTATTGAGGGAGCTTTCTCCTTTTCCTTCTCTTCCTCCTCCTCCTCCTCCACACAGCTTAACTACCTGGAACAGGGACACCAATTGCCCCTCCCGGCTGCACAGCTTCTTTAAAAAGGAACAAACATAAACGGGGTACCTGCCACTTTCATATTTCTCCTTCCTGATCTGGTCAGCGAAAAAATAAAACTTCCACTCCAGTCTGGGCACGTGTCCCCACCACAGGATGGGACCTATCTCATTTAAGTCGCCTAAAAGGGGAAAAAAAAGAACAAGAAAAAAAAAAAGAAAAGGAAAAAAAAAATTACAACACATAGGCATACGACGCGTAAGAGTCGTAGAGACACCTCCACGACTCGTACAGAAAAAATCTGAAAAAAAGGAGGGATGACCCGGGAGTTGTCCCTCCTACGATTGCTTAATAACACACCATTTAAGTGGCACTCCCCGAGTAGGGTTCGTTAATTATGACCCTCTCCCTTACCTGCCTTATAACAAAAATTAAACGACTTCCATTGGTATCTTTTCCCAATCTTGTGCAGCTCCTCTATGATTATTTCTTCTCGGTGTGTGCGTGTGTATGTTAGCATGGCTGTTCGTGGAGGAGTCAACATAAAGGGGAAAGGGAAAGCGCGAAGGTGGGAACATGTAAGAAAAATCGCACATAAGTATGTATGCACACGTGCTAAGGGGGGGGCTTGAAAAAAACGTCCCACATGGCCAACATGATGTAGAAAAGGTCGAACATGGGAAAATCCCATATCCACTCGTCATCCTCCCAAGTACCATACGAATTGCAAATGTTTAGGGGGCATAGTTCATAAAAAAGGTGGTAGCAAAGGTGAAAGCATTTTAAATCGTCAATGTTCCATTGTCTGCGCAGCAGAAGAGTGGGGGGAAAAAAAAACAGGAAATGTTCTTCATGCATCTGGAAAATCAGGAGGCCATTTTTTCTTTCCCTTTTTAAGTGTACTCGACGAAGGGGACGAGGTTTATAAGGACGATTAACTAAAAAGAAAAAAGGGGGGGAAAAGGAATACACGCAGGTGGATGGGTAAAATGTATCCAAATGTGGGAGGGAGTGGGCGATCGAGCAAGCGGGAAAACGTCACTGCGAACGTCCCATCGCAACGAAGCATTACGGCGTAGAAGAGAAGAATGACGAGGTTGACGCAACCGACGAGCAAGAAGGTCACGGTGTTGACGGACGCGCCCTTCTGCAGGGAGGAAAGGGAAATCAGACAAATGAGCAAATAAGTGACCAAACAAATGGGTAAACAGAAACAGGTAAGTACCAATACAGCGCGCTACACATCACGCACTTTATGCTGATCTTCGGCACCTAAGCGCGCTCTGCCGTGACGACGCAGTCAAGTTACTTCGTGCAGGGCGGGGATCTCCCTCGGATGGGAAAGAAAATTTAAAATAGAATCGTCGAGGGAGGATAAAAATAAAATTAGACACAAGTACGAAAAAAAAATATAATTGCAGATGATATAACAGGTTATGTGAATGGCTGCAAAAAAGGGGCAGGGGAAATAAAAGTTGTGGACGCGACAAGTGGAGTTATGCGCTACGCCGTTGTGATGTCTGGCACGAACATCGCTAAGCTGTGCAAAAGGTTCGACACGCTGCCATGCTCACAATCGCATATGTCGCCTGCACACAATAATGATAACTCCTTTTTTGTATTATCTTTCCAGTTTCACTCACTCACAAAGAGAGTAAAAAAAATTAGCCTTAAAATTGAGGAACAGAATATTAGCCAGGAGAGTAAAAGCTAAAAAAGGGGGGAAAATAAAATAAAATGATACCAATAATGGCAATGCCACTGTGGTCCAATCGAGATGTCGCTCTCCTCACCTCCGACGTTAAGAGCAGGAAACAAATTATCTTTTTGTTAAGAGTGCAATTGGCGATATCTGCAGTGGAGGAGGGGGGGAAGCAACGTGCCCGATTTCACATGTCTCGATGAGCAATTCGATTAAGCAGGGGACTGGCTACGTACTGGTGCCCTCCATATGTGCGATTGTACGTCTTCGAATTTGCACTGTTTTGTTAGAATTACGCGAAAGTATAGAGGGGGCCGGTTGACAGGAAAATAAATTTTGGCAGGCCTCCAGGTGGAGCCACTGGGGGCCGTTGTAAACTGCGGAGAAAAGTAAAAAAAAAAAAAAAATAAAATAAAAAACAAAAAAAAACATATATATATACATATACAGAATAACACTCCCTTGCTCCCCTCTCAAGTGGCTCATCCCTCGCGCGCACACTTTTCATTACCAAGCTTGTGCACGGCTGATCCGAACAAAATTTTAAACGCAACTAGTCTCAGGGCGCATATCACCAGTGTGTTGGAGTGCCTCAGATGGTGACTATCGGACAGGCATAGAAATATTAGGAGAAACCCCAATTCGTTCATGAGTAAATCGCTGCAGTGGGAGGAAGTTAAAGAGAGAAGGGGCACACCTGTGGGTACATAGCTAGGTATATACACTGTGCCGAAGTAGACACCACATCGTGTGAGTAATGCGTAATCAGGGGTTCTTCCCCTCTCTATATAGGCTGTTGTGTTCGTTTTTTTCTCCTCCTTTTGTGGAGTACCACTGGAAAACCATAAAATCCCGCATCCCAATTTTGAAGCACAAGTGCAGAATGAACAGGGACACAAAAAAAAAAGAAGAAAAGGTTATCCTGACGAAGTCGTTTTGGACATTCTCTTGAATTAAAAAGTTGGCAATCGATAGGAACACCCCGAGTTTGCAAAATGTCTTCACCTGGTATTGGGGAGGGTAATGTTGTCCTTTAGGTTTTGGGTTTACAATTTAGGTTTAGGTTTAAGGTTGTATGTTGCATGTTGCCTCCGTGGACCAGGGGCACTTTACCAGCATGTGTGCATTTGGACGATCGCTTTGCTGATCGCCTAGCTTCCCCCTTGATTGCTCACTTGGACGCGCTTACCCTTATCCTCCGCTTGATCACGAA